AATCGGCTGTTTTTTGCTATGCATGCCCTGTTTTTGGCAAAAAACAGGCCTGTTTTCACAAAGGAATCGGCTGTTTTTTGCTATGCATGCCCTGTTTTTGGCAAAAAACAGGCCTGTTTTCACAAAGGAATCGGCTGTTTTTTGCTATGCATGCCCTGTTTTTTGCAAACAATGGGTCCGTTTTTTCGAAAAAGGCCCATTTTTTGCTTGTTTTTGCCCCCCCCCCCATCTCCCAGGAGCACTTTGCAGGCTTGTTAAATTCTGCATGCTCTGTTTTTCACAAAAAAAGAGACATGCAGAAGATTTGGGAGTCCTGCAGAGTGCAAAAACTTTTTTCAAAAATTTACCTGTTCAAAATCTTGGTGTGTCTTATATGCCGGTGCATCTTATACCCTGAAAAATACGGTAATTCTCTTCTCTTGCTTATTTTGGAAAGGAAGGTCTCTGGAGATTCTCAGCCATCCAAGTTATGGTTGCCCCTTTTGGGGGAAGCCTAGGTCAGGACATCTGCATGCATTCCTCTCCAAAGTCCCAAAGGTGCTTTTTCAAGAGGCAACTGGACATTCTGGTTTTTTTTTTCCTTTGCTTCTCATCCAAGAAGCTTCTTCAGCTCTGACTGGATGGTGGGGAAGGGAAGGATTTATACTCTTTGCAGAGAGCTGGTCATTTGCATCCTTTTTGGAGGGTCGTTGAGGCAGCTTCAACAGTTCCAAGAAAGCTCCACACCCATTTGCACCACTCAAGTTAACAGGTTAAACCTCCAAGTGGCCTCAACTACTCTCCAAAAGGATGCAAATGATCAGCTGTCTGCAAAGAATATAAATTCTTCCCTTCCCCACCATCATCCAGTCAGAGCTGAAGAAGCTTTTTGGATGAGAAGCGAAACGTCTTCACAAGAAAAAAAAAGGAAGTCCATTTGCCTCCTGAAAAAAGCACCTTTGGGACAACCATGACCTTGGATGACTGAGAATCTCTACAGTCTTTTAGCTATACAATTTGGGATGAAGACCCTTGGAATGGTGTGGGTGGAGGAATGGATTTTCAGGGGGGGGGGAATTGCAGACTACAGGAACCCTTTGCACCACTCAGGTGACCCTGAGGCAGGGGTGGGTTCCTGCCAGTTCTAACCTCTTCTATAGAAGAGGTTCCACAAATCTACAGTGCCATTTAGAACGGGTTCCAGCTCCCTCCCCCCGCCCATCTGCCCATCATCAAGATGAAGAGCGAGAGGAGGAATTCTGGGAGTTGAAGTCCACAAGTCTTAAAGCTTAAAAAAGGAAGGGGAAGTAGAGTTGTATGGAAGCGGAAATACACCAATGAGAGGAAGAGTGGGAAGCAGAAGGGAGAAGAAAGGTGGGAAGAGAGGGGTAGGAGAGAGGGTAAGGGGGGGATGATGATGAGGATGAGGATAAGGAGGAGTGGAAT